AGTCCTCCCCTGGCCCCTGTGGGAATGTGGGTTCACTTATCCACTTCCTTTGGCACACGGTCAGTCCGTCCGTTTCTTCCCTCACCAGACCCAGCGTGGCCCCAGCCAGACTGTGTTGTGACTTATATGCCCAGTAGTCAGCAGAAGGGGCTGGACACTCCTGAGAGGCACCTGTTGTGTTATGGAGGAAAGACCCTGACATTGTCTTTCTTTGTGTTAGGATGGAGGAAGGGACAGAAGGCAGTTTTAGTTCCTCATGGGAAGGGTGGGTCTCTTCTGCACGCTCAAATATTCAGGGAGTCAAAATTGTTGAGGATATCCATCCCAAGTTTTAGGTTGCCAAGATTGATTTCAACCTGGACGCAACAGACATGGCTGGGCTGCAGGTTTGCTGGCGGTTAGCTACTTCTGCCATCACACAGGATGAGGGTGCTGGCATGCCACCAAAGCGACTGACTCTCACAACACTTAGTTTTAAATGGCTTATTATAATAATTAACCCGAGCTTTTCACTATCCATTTGTAGGACACCAGTCCAACTCAGTAATAATCACCCAAGTCCATTGTTTGGTGTTTATTATCTACCCTTCCCCTCATATTTGGAACACCGGAGTCATCCCCCACCCACTGCATTCCCCTGCACCACTCTGCTATTTCATCTCAAGTTGTACTAACCGCACAGCCCTCTTGTGCCAGGGGCTGTCTATCCAACGGGGACAGGAGCCTCAGAACCAGCCAGACAGGGAGTGACTCAGTCTCAACTCTGTTCTTGGCTGACTGGTACCAACCGGGCCAATTTGAGGCTGAGATGGAGTCAGGAGTGCGAAAGACGTACTGTGAAAGGAAAAGAGAAAAGTAAGGTTGAACAAGGGAACTGTCAGATCTGACCAGTCCACGAAGCATCTCTGGAGCAAAGACTGTCTAGTAGAAGTGTTCTGAGTTAGGCGGAAATGGCTGGGTCTGATACCACTGCCTCAGTCACTGGCTGGAAGTTGGCAGGGGAAAAAAGCATGCTGTCAGCTGCCCCTACAGCTGTCCTTATCTAGAAATCTGCAGTGCACCCTGGAGAAGGTAATAGCCAGAGACTGTTGGCTGACTACACACCTAACAGTGGGCAGCTAGTGCTGTCTAGAAGGTAAACTTGGAACGACACTCCTCCATGAGCTTGTCAGCCACAACTCCAAAGCCCAGAATAGGAATGACCATTCTTTGGCCACAGTTACAAATAGGTACCAGAAACAACTTTGCATCAGTAACCTCCATAGCCTCTAAACCACGCTGTCAGCAGCAGCCTCACTTTGCTGACTACACCTCCACAGCTAAAGGCTCAGTCGGTCCCCAAATGCTGTCAGTTAATCCTTGAACTCCACATCTCCTAAAACCCTGTGCCAGGTCAGCAGTTTTCCTTATCTGGAGAGACTGAGCTACAGGCACAGCGCTCTCTCCACAGCAAGCAGCATGCACGGCTTTTTGCTCTTGGTACTCAACACGTGGCCTCTTCCTCTGAGGCTGTCACCTCTGACCAAGATGCCACCCCCACCTCTGCTTTCATCTGACTGGCCCGCAATCAGTCAAGTCTCAACTGTCTCTTCCTCAGAGGGGCCTCAGCATGTGACATCCACCCCACCCAACAAACCACACCCTACCCTACCACCTCCTTTCAGCTCTTGACAGCACTTGTCACAATTTCAACATAACTAATGGTGATTTTCAACTAGTGCGTTACAAAAGGATCTTAAGTGTGCCGAGACAATTTTTAAAGACCATTAAATATCTTTGAAAAGTGTTCAAAGCACAGGAACTAAACATTTTTTATTTTTTTAATCAACATAATTTAAGTGTGCCTTGAATGTTTATAGGTTCAAGTGTGCTGTGAGATAAAAAACACTGATCTAGAATACAAACGCCACAGGCCAGGAGTTTCACTGCCATGCTCTCAGCACCCTAAACAGAGTGAGAGATGTTGCTGGGGTTGGTGCCTGATGAGGAGCTGGGGACATGGTCTCCCTCATCTCCATTTCCCCGTCCCCATCATGTTGCCTGGAACACAGGAGGAATTCCATAATGACTTAAAGAACGGGGCAGCACCTGTGGCTCAAAGGAGTAGGGCGCTGGCCCCATCTGCCGGAGGTGGCGGGTTTAAACCCAGCCCCGGCCAAGAAACTGCAAAAAAAAAAAAAGCAAAAGATTGAATGAAATGTTTAGGGGGCTCGGCGCCAGCCACATACACTAGAGCTGGTGGGTTCAAACCCAGCCCAGGCCTGCCAAACAACAATGACAACTGCAACCAAAAAATAGCCAGGTGTTGTGGCGGGCGCCTGTAGTCCCAGCTACTTGGGAGGCTGAGGCAAGAGAATCATTTAAGCCCAAGACCTTGAGGTTGCTATGAGCTATGACGTCAGGGCACTCTACCCAGGGCGACATAGTGAGACTCTATCTCAAAAAAACAAAAACAAACAAAAATGATCAGCGACAAAGCAAAATTTTTTAGGGAATTAAACAATGACTAGGAAGGAGTGAATGAATGCACTAAGTTTAAACAAATTGTTTTCAGACTTTTAAAAAGCATAAAATCTTAGGATAGATTGACATCCGCATAAACACACCTGGTAGCTCTGTGAGCACAGGGGGGTGAGTAGGAACTGCCCACCTTAGCTCCCTGTCATGGTGCCCAAGATGCTTCCTCCAGATGTAGGGGTCCGAGGAAGACTTTGGACAACTCTCCAGAGAAGCAGATAACCAAGGCAAGGGAGAGATGGGAATGACCGTCCTGTAGAGCAGTGATGGTAAATGTGCTATACAAGAGATTTCATTTCTTTTTGGCAAGCGTTAAGAATGCAAGAGATCAGGCAGCGCCTGTGGCTCAAAGGAGTGGGGCACTGACCCCATATGCCGGAGGTGGCAGGTTTAAGCCCAGCCATGGCCAAAAACTGCAAAAAAAAAAAAAAAAAAAGAATGCAAGAGATCAATAAATTCAATAAGCAACTCAAGCAAATACTTTTGGAAAATAATTGCTTAAGATTTTAAAATATGTCCATGATTTCAAAACCCAAAATCTAACCTGTTTTGTATCAAAACTATAGTCTCAAAGGTATCTCTAAAGTCACAGTCATGCAGAAAGAGCCCCCCCAGATAGTGCCAGCCCACTGATCCAGGGCCCGGCTGTCTGGGCTTGAGTCAGCCTCTGCCCTCAGTTTCATCTGGAGCAAGCTACCTAATATCTCTGTGCCTCAATTTCCTAATCTGTAAAATGGAGAAAATAAAACAGAGGGTAGAGTGTGATCATTCAGGTGGAGCACTGACAACAGTGCATCTAGAAGGCAGCCCGTCAGGGTCAGCCATGGACACCATTAACTACAGACAGCTGTGTTGACCTACTGTAGCCAGGGTCCAGGCTGGGGAGATTAATTTTCAGAGAGATCATACAATGTCAGGGTAGGAGGGAACTTAGACACCTCCAGCCCCATCTTCCCATTCACTGAATGCTCAAATCTCCTAGTAAGTGATTGTCTCCTGGTAAATGATTACACGGTCTCTAAACACACCATCATGGGAACTGGAAGTCACACCGTTCATAAGCAGAGTGGTTGTTAGGAGCCAGGCATTTTCGAATACAATTAGGCAAAGACGTCTAAACTCCTTCATTTTGCAGCAACGCACTCTTTGAAGAATGGTTTTTTTATTTATTTTTTATTTTTTGAGACAGAGTCTCACTGGTCACCCTTGGTAGCATGCTGTGGCATCACAGGTCACAGCAAACTCAAACTCTTGAGTTTAAGCAATTCTCTTGCCTCAGCCCCCTAAGTAACTGGGATTACAGGCGCCCAGCTGTTCATTTTATTTATTTATTTTTTTTGGTTGCAGTTGTCATTGCTGTTTAGCAGGCCAGGGCTGGGCTCAAACCCGCCAGCCTTGGTGTTATGTGGCTGGCACCACATTCACTGAGCTATGGGCGCCGAGCCTGAAGAACGATTTGTTGCCCAAAAGATCAGGGTTCATTCACCAGGTAAGCAACAAACGATTTTCCAGAGCGTGGGTCTTGATCAATTGTCTTACTACTTGCAGAAAGTAAGGAGAGTTTGGGGAATAGTCTCCAAAGCATGTTTCACTGAGGGAAAGTGGCTGTGGGGTTTTGATGGGGCAACAGAGAAAGAAAAAGATGTCGTCACATGTGGGGGAGAGGATCCAAAAGGCCTGATGAATCACAGGGTGCTTGCTACAGTAATGACTTTAACATGGTAAAGAGAACGGTTCATTTGACTTCACCTAGTAACTGCCAGCGTCTATCGGGGGCTCCTTCTAGCCAGCTGGGGAGCCACATGCCTCACAAACAAAAAAAGCTGCAACATGGGCTGTTCAAGTTGCTTGAATTCCTGTAGTCCCTGCAAACCCTTACTACTACATTAAATACTTTAAAAATTCAAGTGAATTCTATAATATGTTTGTGTACATTTTTTCCAGAAAACATGCCTTTAGCGTGCCAGATAAGATAGGAAGTACCTAACTTCATAAGCTTCTTTTATCTGTCACAAGCGGTTGACGACACTTTTGGGTGCGAGTTGCCTTGTGCAGTGGAGGCAGTGGGCAGAGGGGGAAGAGGGTTCCACAGGGAATGTAGTGCTGACAGCCTCAAAAGACAGTTTGATTTTTGTGTCCAACTGAATTTTTACCTCTTTAGGCCTGACAGCCAGGTATTTCCACATAAGATTAATCTTCAAGAGCAACACCTGTAGCTCAGTGGGTAGGGCGCTCATTTGAACCTGGCCCCTGGCCAGACTGCAACAAAAAAATAGCCAAGCATTGTGGAGGGCGCCTGTGTGCCCAGCTACTGGGAAGGGTGAGGTAAAAAGAATCACCTATGCCCAGGAGTTGGAGGTTGCTGTGAGCTGTGAGGCTATAGCACTCTACCAAAGTACCAGTACCAGAGACTCTGTCTCTAACAACAAAAAAAAAGATTAATCTTCAACATTTTTATTGATGTTATCTGGAAGAGATCACATTCAACTGATACAAATCCAAGCAGAAAAAGGCAACCTGGTGGTGCTGTAGCAAAGAAAAGGGAAGAAAGGGATATGTCCCTGGATCCTCCCGGAAATAGATGACCCATTTGCATGTGTTTATAGACCTACTGTCCCCTGTTACCTGGGCATCCAGGTAAAGCATCAAGCATTAAAAAGGCACAACGGAAAGAAGCGGAATTCACAGTGGGACTCTCAAGCTGGAGGGGCCAGATGCACAGCTAGCATCAGCGCTGATGTCTATATTATAAGTTCTCCCCCGCGATGAAACTTTTTTCCTTTTCTCGTTCATCCTCTTTGGAGGGTTCATTTTTCTGAATCAACCACACTTCGTTATTTCTATTAAGCAATTCAAAAGGGCTGTTGTAGCCTGCAGTGTAGTAAACCTTTTCATCGAACACTTTTCCTTCTTCCCTCAAAATGTTTGCTAATGTCAAGAGTTGTTCTTGGTTCTTTTGGGCGCTACAGAATCCATCGAAAGACCTACAAAGGAAAAGGTAAATGATTTTAATACTGATATGAATGTCGGTCTGAAAAGAAAAGCAGGAGCTGGTCCCACAAGTACTGGGTGAAACACAGCAGTCCTGGCCGCTCCCTCTCTTGATGTCCCAGGCTCAGTGTGACCCACACAAGGTGAGGCCTTGGAAGACACAGCCCTTTGGCCCATCTGTTGACAGGCAGATTAGGAACCAACACAGTCTCAGGCACTCTAACCCTGAGCTTCTCACATTTTAATGTATGTACAAGTCACCTGCAGATCTTGTTAAAATGCAGATTCAGCACAACCAACAACAACAGTCGATAGTAAGTTAGGCTATATGTAAAAGTAACCAAAGGTGGAGGACTGGAATGTTCCTAATACAAAGACATGATAAATGTTTGAGCTGATGGATCCCCCAGTTATCTTGATTTGATTATCATATATTGCATGCTTATATCAGCTTATATCAAAACATCACGCGCCTTATAAATACATGCAGCCATGTACCCACAATTAATAACAATTTTTCAAAATGCAGATTTCAAGTGATCTAGGTGGGGCCTCAGAGCCTGCTTTCTGAGGCCCAGAAAGATTCAAGCCGATGCTGCCTGCCAGAGAACCACACTGCAACTCCAACAGAAGCTCCCCTTCCAGACTCTTGATTTTCTCCTGAAAATTACCCCTTTCGTCCTCTCCTCAGGAAAAGAGTAGGCACTGGCTTACAGATGAATAGGATATATTAATAGTTTTGACCTCTATGAAAAGACCAACATTTTGGCAGCTTTCCCCATACATCCTAAGAAGAGTTTAGCAGAGACAAGATCAAAGTGCTGTGGGAGCAGGGAAGACACGATGAAATCTGGGTGTCATCTGAGCTGGGCCTAGAATAGAGAATAGTTTTGTTGAACCAAAAAAGGGGAGGGATAGGAACAGGAACAGAAGTCTAAAAATACAAAGTGTTTTCACAGTGAGGCATAGAATGAGGTCAGGAAGGTGAGTCAGGGCCAGAAGGAAGAACCCTGCATATTAGCCTAAGGCCTTTGAGATTATTCTGAAGGATGCTGAGCAGAAAAATAACTTATCAGAGCTGGATAGAAATAGACAGATACGGGGAAAATAGACTGGCAAGAAGGAGCCAGTTAGGAGGCTGGTAGGGGGTAGGAAAGAAAAGATGGACAAAATGTATAAAAAAGTGGAGAAACAATAAAAGTTTGAGTGCAGATTTTAAAGTACATAAATGAAAATATACTGACATTAGGCTTGGCGCCTTTAGCACAGTGGTTACGGCGCCAGCCACATACACCGAGGTTGGTGGGTTCAAACCCAGCCCAGACCAGCTAAAACAACAATGACACATGCAATAAAAAAAGCCAAGTATTGTGGTGGGCACCTGTAGTCCCAGCTACTTGGGAGGCTGAGGCAAGAGAATTGCTTAAGCCCAAGAGTTTTGAGGCTGCTGTGAGCTATGACACCATGGCCCTCTACCCAGGGCAATATACGGGACTCTGCCTCAAAAAACAAACAAACAAACAAACAAAAAAAAAACTGAGATTAAATCATGACAGCACAGTTTTAACAGAGTCAATGGCCTGGAAAAGGTAAAAATGTTTTCTGTGTCTTTAAAACCTCCTCACCCTATCTGACAACCAAAACCTGTATTCTCAGGCCAGTGGTGGTCACAAGACTGTATTCCCTGGAGATGGGATGATCAGAATCATCAACTACAGTTAAACAGCAACAGCCTGAAGCTAAAAACCCTCCCCTTAAAAGCTCTGCATTTCTCCCTATACTTAGGAAAACTGGTACTTTATGATAGGAGTCTGACATCTTCCCCATTTTCCAGCAAATTAGTAAACCTCCCTTTCCTGCTTCTCAAACCACTTGTCCTCATTCTTCTGATATAGCCTGAGGGACAAGTGCCAAACTTTCAGTAACACAGTGACCTAGCTGAGTTGCTGACATGCAAACACAATGAATTTGAATTTGAATTCTCTTAAGAATAAGGGAAACACTGAGAAACAAAAATATTCCTAACATGCCTGGGTGTAAGTCTGATTATTGATGTCTAATGCAAAAAATCAATTCTACCGTGCTTCAGCGAAGATGCAAGCTCTCAAGGGTGCAAACCATGTCTGTGTTATTCAATAACGCCTACCCAGCACCTAGAATCATTCTAGGCATGCAGTTCCCTTTGAGTCTTTAAGCGCAGAGGTCTCTGTGTGCGCATGTACAGATAGCACACATAAACCATGGAGCGTGAGTTGATACAACTCTTCTGTTCTATCATTCGCTTCATGTCCATTGAACCTAGTTCTGAAGCAAGTGTTAAGAAACATTTTAACTCCTGAATTTGTTATTTATTTTCCTATTGAAGAGCCATAAATGAGTGTGCTCCATCTAAAGGGAATTTGTTTCCAGATGCCATTCTTCCCTTAAATCAAACTTAAACCCTCTAATTAGTATTTGTATCTTTGAATACATGGAGTTCTCTGAATACGTATTGTTTTACAATGAACTGTCTATCGCTTTTTATTCAGGATGTAAACACACACTTGCCACCCATCCCTACGCCCACACGCCTGTCTTGCAAGAGGCTGGAATATATGTACAGACTAACACACTATCACAGTCTTGAGGAAGTGATAGCCACTAAGTCAATCACTCTACCCCAGAAGAACAGTCATAGAAGGAAAGGCACCACGGACACAGTAACTGGCTAACCGGAGAAACTGAGGAAGGCATCAGAGAAGAGGGGTCCTTTATCCTGCGGGGAAGAGAAGAGGGAGCAGTGGAGTTACTAGTGCACGCGGTGTATGCTCTAGGTTTTTCATGTGCATTAACTCCTTTGATCTTCATGGCAACCTTGAGATAGGTAAGCACTATAATAATATACAATTTGCAGATAAAGAGATTTTAGCAAGAAGTGGAGTAACTTGCCTGAGATCAAAGGTAAAGAGATGTGGAAGAATGTGGCACATTCTATGAAGGGTGGGAAGGTCAGTGGAGCCCACGTGGGGGGGAAGGGACTACTGAGGCAGGGTGGGGCCACATCACAGCGGGTACCCTGCACCAGGTGAACAGTCTGAGCTCCCTCCAGGATGCAAGAGGGAACTGACAGAGATTTTCCAATGGAGTAACAGGCTGGACTTTTTGTTGTATGAAAGCTCAATGCAGAAGAAAAGAGGGGGAAAACTGTTGGAGGGAATGAAACAGTCCGCAGATTACTGACGTGAAATTGTCAAGAAAAAATTCAATGGCAATCAATAAACACCCCAGTATCTGCTGAGAGCGTTGGGCTTGCACTGGGGTGTACAAAGACGACATAGGTGTGGGCCTTCCAAGATGATGACCTGAGGAATAACAATGGCGAGTAGGCATCAGATGATGAATCACCACCTCGGGGACCAGCCATCAGGGAACAGTGTGTGGTGGTGACTGGAAAGCTCCTTGCTGGGGACAACTGGCTGCGGAGGCCCTTTACTGAGACAGGTACTGTAGTATCTGAGGTTTGGGAACCACAGGAAGGCTCATTTTTAGAGGAGCTGGGTTTGATCCACCTCTAAATGGAGATGCCCAATAAGGAGGGAAAGCAGATCTGGAGACACCTCCTAGATCTGAGAGTCACAGACTCAGGGACAGAGGCAAGGTGAACATTCGGCCAGAGCCAGGTGGGGACAGCAGAAGGTCAACAGTGAGTATCAGCAGAGATTTCTGGGATGGGGAGCCAGGGAGAGCCCACAGAAATAAGAAAGTGACAGGAGAGTTATTTTCTGAAAGTTAAAGGATGAACGAGTATCAAGGAAACAACCTGGTCAGAACAGAACGGGGGTCACGTGGGAGAGGACTGGGGTCACGTGACAAACGCACAGGCACCTGGACGACCACAAGGGCAGTTCCAAGGAGACAGCGGGAGACATCCCAGATTGTGGCACTTTGAGGTAAAGGCCGTTCTGATGACATCTCTGACAGAAATGAAGACTATGTGACCAGAAACTTGGGGAAAGGTGATTGGGCAAAGAACTCAGCTGAACTGTGCTGTGTCATAGTGCCAAGCAGAGCATCTGAGTGATGAAACAGGACCGTCTGGCTGAAGAAATTTATAAACAAATAGTTGAAAGTGTGGCTTGACTTCTCTTGAATGTTTATAGTAAAATCTGAGAAGAGAAAATTCAAAGATTAAATTTTTAAACAAAAGGGAAGCAGAATTTAAAAATGCAGAAATCCTTAGCTTATCCATACTGAAAGAAATGAGAAAGCTGCTTCAGAGAGACCAAGGTTAAGTAGAGTGGTATGGAACTGCCACCTAAACAGATGCTGTGGCCTGTTCTCCAAGACAACGGAAGAATGACTCCAAAGGCATTTCATAGACTGTGGGGCTGCCCCTCCTATCACTGGCCCCTGAGTGCCTGCACCTAAGAGGGCAGAATAATTTCTTGGGCACTCTGAGACCTTAGAGCTCACTGCTTAGCGCTGCCTCCCAGCTCTGCACTCTGCATGCCACTACAGCACTCCTTGACCACTCTAGATTTGGCTCTAGTAGACCAAGATGTGACACAGGATGTAACAGCTGCTCTTATGGAGGGCGTAGCCAGCTTGCAGAATGCACAAACCATGGAGGCATGGCTACCTCCACTTAGATTTTAAAGGATAGAGCTGCCTAGAGCCTTGGGTATGTGACCCAGGCAAAGAGCTACAGCAAGGGCAGGGCCACTACAGAGTCCCCAGTAGGGCAATGCCTACTGGAGCTGTAGGAGGACACACCAGACTGGCAGGGCCAGAGGTGTGCACTTCCAGCCTAGCTGAACTGCAGTGGGAGTGGAGCCTCCCAAAGCCATGGCGTAGGGACATTAGAAGTCTTACAGGCCCAAACCCTGTCCAAAAAAGCACTAGCCCCACCTCAGTGGCCCTGGAGTGTGGAGCCCTGAGTCAAAGAAAATTAATTTTAAGTCTTAAGATTTGGGATTTACTTGGGACCTATTATTCACTTCTTTTTCCCTAATTCTCCCTATTGAAATGGATGCCATTTCATGTCTGTCCCACTGTTGTATTTTTTTTTTTTTTT